AATGTCTGTGTCAAGCAGGAGAGCAGGGGGAGGAGGTGGGAGAATGATTTCAGACCCAGAAAAGCACCATTCCAAAGTTTAGGTCTGGGAGGCTTTGAGTGGCAACCACTGGGACAGTGGAATTTCTCAAAGTGGAATGTGAAATGAAAAAACAGAGTTGTAAGGAGGTATCCAAGACTTCTGTGCTCCCCAGAAGCCATGATGTTGATCCATTACCCCCATCATCAAATACTTAACCAAGGAAAAGATTAGGTTCCCTCGTCTTCTTCATCCTCTGTCCCTCCACCCCCACGTCAGCACACATACCATCAACTATCTCCACAGGACCAACTTCATCCTTTTTTTCTAGTCTTTTCCATCTGGCTTCTGTATTCTAAAGTCTGTAGAAATTCTCTCTAGACCTACTGCTCAAATTCACAGACCTAATCACTCTGTAATTCTGGAATTTAAAAGTAAACAGAAGCCCTTGCATTAGATGTGTGGATGATTCTGGTTGTTCCAGAAATATTTGCCCTTACAATGCATGTGGCTTATGGACCTGAAATTTGGCTTGGCAGGGAAAGCTATCTTCCCTGAACAGAGGAGAGGCAAGGGAGTAGGTTTGGAATATTTGGATACAGGATGGATAATTTAAAAAAAAAAACACCTACAGTGGTCCCCAGTCTGTGGCTAGGACTGAGAACATTTTTAGTGCTAAGCCCCGACTTGTATCTTCTTGCAGGTCCCCCTCCCACCAGACCTATTACAGTAGAGGCGAGGTTGAGGCACTTACGGTTCATGTTGGCCAGGTGATGGGCAGGGGTGCTTTTGGTTCAGCTGCTTCATCTTACTTCCGATTGAGTCTTGAAAATCAATACAAAGTCATTTCTTAATTCACTTTACATGTTGAGTCAATGTGTACATATTTACCTGAACTCTATGATTCTGTTTTCAAGGGGAGGAGACATCGTCAGAAGACTGACCTGTGAAGTCTGGAACCTGCTTTGTCTTTTTCATCGCATCCTTCAAGCTTGGATAATCACCTTTAGAATCACCCTGTCCACCATCCTGCTTAATCATTTGGTCCTTTGTGAAGTACAGAGTGAAAATCTGGTGTAACCACCAATAAAGGTGCCCCAAATTAACTCTGGGGCTGCCTTCTTCTGCTTCCTAAAATGAGAAATATGGTGAGGGATCCAAATGTGTGGTGGAGGAAACATTGGTGACTGGGTTGGCAAGTCTCATGGTGGGAAGATCAGATTCTCAGCCCAGGGACCTAGGAAGTCATTGCAGCCTGCTGTCTCTTTCTGGGAAATCACAGATTTGGGATAGAGCATCTGCAAGTGCTTATAAAATCATTAATAAATAAATTAGTAAGTAAATGGAAGGTGGAAAATTCATTGCAAGACTGCCTCAACTATACCTTTTCTGTGCCCATGACAGACATCAATAATCGATTACAGAAGCTGTTCGTGAGCCCAGATGCAACCTCAGGTTATTTTTCTTCTCCTCCTCCTCTCCATCCCTGCCTACCTTCTCCTCTTCCCTCTCCTCCTCCACCTCCCTCTTATCTCCATCCTCCTCTTCTCCCTCCCTGTCCTCATCCTCCTTCATACCCTCTGAGCAACAACTAACATTGTCCCTCACTACAACCACCATTGTCCCTCACTACAACCAGATAGCAGGAATAGACGTTAGCTATTCAGTCTCATCCGGTTCCCATCGGGTTATCAAATTAAAATTATGTTGCATGTATGTGAAAGAAGCCTGAAAATTTATGTTAGATATCTTCCAGCGTAGCTTAGCTCAACCAGAGCCGCTCCTCACTTGATCCTGTAAAAATGCCGTAGGAAGTATAGTTCTCCTCTGCCCAGATCCCACATCTCCATCTCATTTAGCACCTTCCCTCAGCTCGTTTTATACCTCTGTGCCCTCACTCATTCCACTCAAGCCACTGCTCTGTTCCTTGAACCCACCAAGCTCACTCCAGCCTCTGTGCCTTGCTGGTACCAGAGTTCTCTTCCCCTTTGTGCTCCTGTACCACCCCTCCTCACCTCATTCAGTCTCTTGAAATGCCCCTTGATGAGGAGGGAGACATGCCACCAGAGCCCCCTTCCACAAAAGGCTTTGTCGACCAGCTCCAGGGACTGCTGTCTGCAGGCAACCCTCAGCGATCAGCCCCTCATCAGAGATGTCCTCAGTTGCAGAGGGGCCTTCCTCACCCAAGGTCATGCCCTTCCCAGGGTGGTCTCTTTGCAAGAATTGACCAAGGGTGGGTTTAGAGACCCAGCTCCATTTCAACTCAAGGGAGACATCAGAAGAGTCATGTCAAGAGCTCCTGTGAGCTTGGATGAGATTGTTGAGTTTGCATTGCCGTTCAACATCTCCCTCTGCCCAATCCAAGTTCCTTCCCCAGGTATCGATCCCAAGGACCCTCCTTGATAAAACTGCATGCTCCCACTCTCAGACAGAGGAGCAACTCTGGGAACCCAACTAGAGACAGCCCGTCTCTAAGAAATGTCCTTTCTGACCATTCTAGCTAGTGAAGCCACCTCTGTAGCTCCCTTCAATTCTCTGGGTATCTAACCACTCCATTTTACCTCCCTCAATGTATTCATCCTTGTCTGCACTTCCCTTTAGTGATTCCCCCCCCACCCCCACACTGCACTATAAATTCCAAGAAAGCAAAGACTTTATCATCAGGCTATCTCTAGGACCTAGAATAATCTGACTCATGGCACGAACATGCGCTGACCACACGGGGTTGTGTAAGCTTAAGTAATTTGTAATATCAATAATTTATTAATAAAATGTTATTAACTTAATAAAATTCAGTCTCTAAGCCTCACTCACCACAATTATCACACAATAGCCACACGTGGCTCATGGCTACCATAATGGACGATGCAATTCTAGAATATTCCACCATCGTCGAAGATCCTACTGGATTGCAGGGCTCTAGAATGCGAGCTCCTTGAAGTCCTTCTCCTTGCTCTTTTCCCATCATCTGGGAAAATGCCAGGCATCTAGTAGGGACTCAGCAAATATATTGAACAGGTGCTTGAAAGTGTGTGTAGGTGGATGGATTAGTGTATAGATGGAGTGAGACGGAGCTGAGACAGGAGAAGAGAGTCCTCTTTTAAAGGTGATCTGGACCATGTCCCTCCTCTGCTCCAAACCCTCCGAGGTCCTCGAAATAGCCTCTAAGAGCAGACTTGCATGATTTTACCCCTGATCTACTCTGACCCCAGACCACATACCCCTCTTCAGCCACCCTGGTCTCCCTGCTATTCCTCCAACACTCCAGGTACATTCCTGCCTCAGGGCCTTTGCATTTGCACTATACTGTGTCTGAAACCTCTTCCCCAGACACACCCCCCGCCCCAGTGCTCAATGAACCCCCTACCTAGAATGGCAACCACTCCTCATCCTTAACCCCACTCCACTACCTGCTCCATTTCTTCCACCTCTCTCATCACCTTCTAACACTCAGATACGGCTATATTTACTCATTTATTTTGTTTCGTGTCTGTCTCCTCCCATTACGATGTAAGCTTCCGAGGTCTGAGGTTTGGGGCTATTTTATTCACCGCTACAGCCCCACGCTTGGAAGAGTGCCTCGCACCTAGCCAGCACTTCCTATGCTGCTGTTGAATAAATGAAGGGCGGGCAGAAGGAGGGAAAGAAGGAAGGGAAAAATGAGGGAGGAAGGAAGAAGTTTAAAAATAAAATGGTCTTGGAGGGGAGGGTATAGAGCTCAGTGGTAAAGCACATGTTTAGCATGCACAAGCTCCTGGGTTCAATCCAGAAAAATAAATAAAGAGGACAGAGAAATATAACATAACTGAAATACTGAGAATTAGAAGATAGGAAAAAAAAAAGAAGATGGTCTTGGGATAGTGAAGCGTGGTCAAAAAAGGCAGCTGCAACAGAGTTAGGAAGCACAGTATTCCAGTTACACTTTTTTAAATTAAAATTAAAATGTGATAAAAAGAGGATATTGAACTAGATGACCCACTTTCTATGTCTACCTGATGGACTTTGAACGTGAGAGAAACTCGGAGGAAGGTGTGAAAGGAACTCTTTATTGTGAGGACCTTGGCGTTACTGATGTGTGCTGCTCACAGGCAGAGGTGAGGAGGAAGATGCCTTCCTGGTTTCCCAGCGCAGATCAGGGTCAGGGTGGGAGGGCACCTCTCTGAGCATCCCAGGGCAGACCGCCACAGAGGCAAGTGGCTTCCAGGAATGGCTTCGCGGCAACCTGGCCGAGCTGAGGATTTAGAGGGTCCCGTCTTCTCTCTCTCTCTGTGCATGATGTCATTTCGAGGGGGATTAATTCCCTGGCGGATCAGCTTGCTCTAAACCTCGATAATCCAGATTTGTGGTTTAATTCAGTGGCCTGAGGATGTGACACAAGGAGAAGGAAGTAGGAGGCTGGAGAGATGAAAAGAGACTGTGCTTCCAGGAAATCAAGGAGAGAGGGGGGTGAGCTCATTCGGATGCCTCTTTAATTAACCATTTCCAAGCCCACTCTTATCAAGGACCCTGTTTGTATCCTTGTGATTGACATGCCTTTTTCTACAAAGAGAAAGAAACTGAGGGGACTTGAAGCAGTTGAAGCAAGAAGGGGGAAGGGGAGACTGGGTGCTGAATTCTTTGAGTCTAACAGAAGAGAAGACTATTTTAATCCAGAGGAATCTGGGGAAGAGACTCTGGCAGGTTGAAGGGATTTAGGATGATATGATGTCAAAAGATGTCATTAGTCTTTGGAATTGGGGGAGCAGCATCTAGACCCCAGTACTGTTCACATTTCCACCCAGACTCTTCCTTCTTAGTCTAGTTCTAGAGACGTAACCCCCACCCCATCCGGCCAGAGCTCTCACTTCCGGTCTAACCTCAATCCACAGCCTCCCCTCACCCTCCCACCCTCCCTCCGTTAAGAGCCCGGGGGAATTTGGTCCTCCACCAGCGCTGGGTCCCAGTTGACCAGCTGGAGGGTGACTGGGGATTCCAGAATCTCCTCAACGGGACATCATCTTCACAAACTCTGCAAAACAAAAAAGTTCCTGGTGAGGCACCTATTTGTAAGAGCAGCCGCCATTATGTTTTTCAGCCTTTACGACACGTCGGGAGCCACTGATGGGCCTTTGGGAGGTGAATTACTTGACCCCTCAATGCCTCAATTTCTTCATCCACAAAATTGGAATCATAGGATTGCTTTTGACCTTAGATGATTTTTAAGATGGTTGAAGAATGCAATACTTCTAAGATGCAGTCAGCGTTCAACAAATTGTAATTATGAGACTCTGATTTCGTCTTTTCAGCCAACCCTGGAGGGGTAAGCACTATTTTACAGGTGAGCACACTGAGGCCGGTGAGGTTGCCCAGTGTGTCTGAGGTTGTGTAGGTGGTTACTGGAGAAGCCTGGAACGAACACAAGTTGTACCTGATTTTACTGTGACTCAAAGTCAGAGGAACTTACTGGCCCCACCAGGTCCTGAGGCCAATCTGTCCTTCCCTTGTCTGCGGGTGGCCTGAGGTTTCTTTCCTCTCAAATCACGTTACCTCTTTCAGCTTTTCATTGATGCCCACTGTACACTTGAGACTGGCTAGATCCAACAGGCACCCAGCAAACATTTGCTAAGTTGCAACCCAGCAACAAACATCTACTGAGTTTTCACATTGGAAATCGTTGAGCAGAGATGGTTTAGAGAAATTCCCTTACTGTCTGCCAGGACTTTACAGTCTAGGAGGCAAACACAACTCAATACAGCACGGTCTGTGGTCATAACTTCCTTCGGAGGGGAACAGAAAAACCCCTGTAAGTCTTCACGGCTGGAACGAACACACTCAGCTCAGGATGAAGGGAAGGTTCTTAGCAGGGGTTGCATCGGCATTGCATGCAGCTTCCTCAGGGATGGATATGATTGGAAAATGCATCGATGACATGGAAAAGGTGTGGTAAGTGGAAGGAAGAGCAGCGAGAAAGGGACAGAAGTTGGAGAGCACAGAGCAGGTAACACCAGAGCATAAAAGTTCAGAGAGTGGGTGTAGGAGATACGGCTGTGGGTGGGGAGGCATCATGGATGCCCCTGGACATCAGACTAAGAATTGTGGACTTTTGCCTCATAGGCAGCAGTTTAGATGCTGAAATTTTTTGAATCAGTTAGAACTTGAAGTGCTCTGTGAGTGCTTGGTGCATGATATCTTTTAGTGTTTCTTTGGTAGAAAGGTGTCATCCTTACCCTCATCCTGCAGATGGGAAAACTGACACTTAAGGAGAGTAAGCGACTAGGACAAGACTGCACAGTTAGTCAGCATCGAGGCTGAATCTGAGCCCTGCAGATCTGACCCCAGCGTCCCAGCTGCTAACTAGTCCACTCTCCTTCTGATGGGACAGTTCTTGTGACAGAGGCACCCAGTGAACCAGACAGGGATGGGGGAGGCGGAGCGGGAATGGGCATCTGGACAGGGTGTTCCAAGGAGCGGCCAGGTGCAGAAACAAGCAGAGAGGAGAAACCGTGAGTTCTCTGACACAACATGGGCAGAAAGGGATGGAACCAACACTTCCAAAACCTCAGCCCCTCCTCCAACCTTAAAGACAGAGAAGGAACGGCTGACTTGGAAAAAAGTCACACAGGGGAGATGGAGGTGGACTCCCACTGTGGCCATGGCCACACATCACCTTCGAAGTCGACGGTGCCATCGCCGTTGACATCAGCTTCCTGGACAATCTCGGAGATCTCCTGGGGCGTGAGCTTGTCCCCCAGCAGCCTTTGCATGGCCTGCTGCAGCTCCACTAGGGTGATCTCCCCGTCTCCGTTGGCGTCAAACTGAATAGGAACAGAGGGGACGATGTTAGCCACAACGACCACATCAATAACAATAATCAGAATAATAATCAGAGCAGTGTATAGTGATCACTTTCCGTGAGACAGGAACTCAGCTTAGAGCTTTTGTACATCATCTGCTAGAAGTCAGCTCCTCAGAGATTTAACTAATCTACCAGAGAGGTTTTTCTGTTCTATGTCCAATCACATCTGGGGGCCAGCTGTCCTCCTCTAGCAACACTGATGCTAACCTGTTTCAAACCACAATCAGCTCGTGTCTGGATGGTGGCCACAGCCTCCTAACTGGTCCTCTGGCTCTCACTGTGGTCCTGCATCATCTGTTCTCCACACACCAGGACTCGATATTTTCATTCATTTCAAATGTTCATCAGATCTTGTCCCTCCCTTGCTTAAAGACCTCCACTGGCTTCCTAGCCCACTTAAGGATACTTAAGCTAAGATAGTAAATCTTAACCCAGGGTTCATTTTACACTCACAGCACTTCTCAATTCTGACACTAAATATTATCAGAAATATTTCTTTTGCGTTTGGGTTTCGGGAAAAATCATAGTTGAGAAAGGCGATTCACATACCCAAGTTGTTCCAAAAGAAAGTTTTCCAGTAATTGTCTTGAGGATTCATTTTAAAATTTGAACAAATTGAAATGATAGTCAATGGAATGCAAATGGAAATGAAGTAATTTAATTGAAATTAATCTAAATTCAATACAATTAAAAATTCAGTTCCTGGATCATACTGGCCACATTTGGGGTCAGTGGCTACCATGGGAGGCAGAGTATTTCTGGGACCACAGGAAGTTCTGCTGGATGATACGGCGCTACATCTTCACAAGAAGCCGAGAGAGAAAGACCACATAGCTAGTAAGTAGATGGCGATCTTCCTGGAATTTGGGCCCACGTTTGCCCAACTCCAGAGTCTTTCCTTCCAAACACTATACGATTCTTCATTTTTGCTTTGTGTAGTTGAAAGCTCTCTGACTGAGGACAGCATTTTATTAGGGAATATAAGTGAATTTCAGCAAGCCCCTTACCCTCCTCGGATCTTATCTCTTTTAAGCATCTCTACAAGTGGGTTCAACCAGATGATGTCTTTGAGTTCCCTCCTGGGATCTCCAATTCTTGAGTCCCTTCTTCCTGTTACAGGCATGAAGATTAGAGGTCCCAATATGTGTTTCGGAAAGTGTAGGATCTTGGATATGATGTCATTTCCAGGAGCCTCTGTTTCTTCATGTGCAGTATTGGGATAAAGGACTACTTACTCCTAATATGCTAAATTAGATAAAATATGTAGAGGACCTTGTCCATTGCAAGTGCTTGAAATATATTATTTTTCTTCCCTATTAATTCCACCATAGTTAGAAAAAGAATTGGTTTTGGTGGGTTCTGTCCATGGTTAATGACTAATCATAGACCCCTGGGGTCTCTGTCAACCACCTCCAACATTGTCAAACTCTTAACTCACTTCCTTGAAGGCATCTCGCATCTCCTGGACACCGATCATCCCAGCTGTTTCTGCAAGCAATTTGGGGGCCATCAGCTCCACAAAGTCATCAAAGTCTACACGGCCACCCACTGCGGACAGAAGAGGCAGGTCTAGTGAGATTCTGTATGCTCTCAACCCTCCGTTACCTCATTTGCCCTTCAACTCCATTCAAGAAATAGATCTGCTTCAATCTCTCTGCCTTCTAAGAGGTTCCTGTTTTGGCCAACTCAAGCCCTCTTGCCCCTCTCATCTGAACAGGAGTGGATAGGGTGTGGCATGGTGGAAGTAACTAACTGTTCGTGTGACCTTAAGCAAGTCTCTTAACTGGTTCAGATCTAGATGTCCTCATCTGTAGATATGCAGAAGGGAGAGTGTGAATTAAATGAGCACCAAATCCCTTCCAGATATGAATAACATCACCTCCTTGAATTCAACATTGTTTGCTCAGTAACATGCTCAGAAGCAAACCCAGTAGCAATTTTATCCCAGCTCTGGTCACAAAATCAGCTCTGGTCTCCATCTAAAAACTCATCCTTTTTGCAAAATTATTCACCATTAGGCTTTAACTCCAAGTTTGTTCCCAACATCAAATACAGCTCCAATCTTGCAGTCCACTGATGCATCTTAGTGGTGATGATAATAACCTACATTTAATGAGCATTTACTGGAGGCTAAGACTTTACCTGTATTAACATCTTTATCCTTTCCACAATCCCACAAGGTAAGGAGTGATATCATCTTCCCTGGGTGGATAGGGAAACTGAGGCTCAAGAGTAGGGGCTAACTCTACTTTTCAAAATGACTACAATTAGTAAATAACAGAACTGGAACTTGAACTCAACGTATCTCTAAAAGTCACCCTTTTAACCAATTCAAGTGCTCCCTCCCTAAGTATAATTTAAACTGTTTCCTTCCAGACTTCTAGCCCCCTTCCCTTCTTCATATCTCCAACTCTACTGTCAACCTCCATATCCTTCCCAGTGCCACCCTCAGCCCACCCCAAACCCCAGTCATTCCTCTCACCCCCCCACCAGCCTCACAGTTCATGTGGATTTGCTGGCCCAGTTCAATCAGTTCCATCTCCGTGGGCATGTAACCCATTGTCCTCATGAGATTTCCCAAATCTTTACAGGAGATGAACCCGTCTCGGTCTTTGTCAAATTCAAGAAATGCTTCCCGGAGCTCTGAAAGTTGAGAGAAGAACTTTGGGAACTTGAAACAGTCAATGTGGGAGAATAGCATCCCTTGAAACTATCAGTGTGGCACTGACTGGAGATTCCTCAAAGAAGAATACATTATAAAAACCCAAAATTTGAAAAAGAAGTGATGTAGGAAATGTGTTAGCAAGAGGAAAATTTTCTGAGACCACTAAATGACAGCACCAAAGTCCTTCACATTCTTGAGTGAAGTTATGGGAAACTTCAGAACCATCAAGGGAAAAAACAACAATTTTGGATGCAGCCTAAAACTCATGAGTCACTCCTGGATCTCTAAGACGCTTGGGGATGGGTATGCCTTCTAAACACTTTGGAAGCTACTTAAGCTGCCACAAAATCACAGTTGAGTGGGAAAAGACAGTGATGTAAAATTTTCATGTCAAGGGATTTGTAATGAAATGCACAGAGGGACAGAGAGCAGGTAAGCAGGTAGATGGAATATGGGGCATTTGGGGGTGAGGGTATTTATTACCTTCAATCTCATCTGGCCCCAGTGGTCTTTCCTGGAAAGGAATGTGGTGGGGAGGGGATTTGGAGACAGGGTCAGGGATCCACATTGACTTCTCCATCCTTCACGCATCCTTTTCTGTTTCTCTTCCTTTCTTGCTCACTCCCCTCCACCACTCTCACCTTCTTTCTCCCATCTGCTGACTCCCATTCCGTGGCTATTTTCTCCTCCTGCTCTTTCTCACCGCTTCTCATTTCCTCTCTCCCATCCTTTAATCTCGGTATCTCCCCTCCTGCCTTTCCCAAATAGACATCTATCCCATTGTGCTGAAATGGGTCTTGGTCTTGGAGGCCATGGAATCAAGTCCCCACCTTCTCCAGATGAAGGAAACCAGACTGGGAATCATAGCTAACATATTCAGAGAGCTGACTGTGCCAGGCTTCCATAATCGTTTCATTTAAACTTCAGAACCACTCTGTGAGGTGGAGCCAAATATCATTCCCATCTTATTTAAGGGGAAGCTGAGGGACAGAAAGGTTAAGGAACCTGCCTGAGGTCACACCGCTTATAATGGCAGACCCCTTTCCCAAAGCGGGAGATAGTAAATCACTCCCTAGAAGTCATGTAGCAAGTCAGGTGCATTGAGAGCTGGGATTTGAATTCAGGGCTCTTGGCTCCCAGGTCAGAATTCTTTCCACTCTGTTCCATTGACTCTTTTTTCATCTGCTGCCATGTTTTCTCCTAAGGGTTAGAATCCGTTGGTGTGGGAGCAGTGCTCAGTGGCACACAAGCAGGATGGTGACTGCCAGCTAGATTAATTCCTAAAACTTTTAAGAATTTCCAATCATGTTACCACCCACTCCTGGACAAACCTGAAGGGTCAGATTTGGGTACATGGCATGTCAGCTGGGTAATTCTGTCAACCACTGGCCCCTTTCACCCCCTATCTCCCTTTATCCTTGCAGACTTTCTCCTAGCTTCTCTTTCTTACTCTCCCCCCACCCCAATCCTCTCTCTGTCTCTTTGGTGATCTTAAAGACTAACAATTAAAAGCCTGCACACTGGAATCAAGCAGACCTGGCTCTGCCAGCTATTAATTGCGTAAGCTTAAAGCAAGGGATTTCATGACTCAGAGCCTTAGTTTCCACATCTAGAAAAATGGGAATGAAAGGATTATGGACCTCATGAGGCATTCTGAGGATTAAATGGCATCAGGGATGCAAAGTCTGGGCACACAGCAATGACTTATAAGTAGCAGTACTGTTA